CGCCTACAAACCTAACAGGGATACTTCACGCATTGCGCAACGCGTGAAGTATCCCTGTTAGGTTTGTAGGCGCCAAAGCGTGTTCCGCGCTGGCTGCCCGCCTGCCACGGCGCTTGAAGCAACTATTTCACACCAGAGGTATTGCACAGTATCATACGAAACTGACGGCGCTCTAATATATTAGCAATGGCAGGCATCCATCAAAAGTACGGAGCTTTCCTCGCAAAATAAATCAAGATACTACGGCCCAAAAAGACAGCAGTATTCCAAAAACTCACTGAGTCCTAGCATCCGTAATTAGTAACGTTTAGCATACACTTTATCGCCTGGCTGTTGCTTAATCGCCATCGGCTATAAAAGGCTATAAGAAATTGTGTAGCCGGCAATAGAAGCTATTGGAAATCTTACAGCCGGCTGTAGGTCTATGGTATTTTGAAACACAGATTCTACTGCCAACTTTTACCAGGGACGACTGTTGAAAAAACTTTGAAAAAACTCTTCAATTCTAAAAAGACTTATCTAAAAAATTGTTAAAATATCCGTTTTAGAAACCCCCTTTTTGGATATTTTTTACGTCAAATTTCCGGGGGGTTATTTAAGTGAAGTTTAAGTAAAATAGAGTTCAAAACTCGTGACTGTGGGTTTTCAACGCTAAAAACGTTTGAAAAAAATTTAGTCATTTTATTTCATGGGCTTCTTTACGTAAATTTCAAGAAGAGTCAGATTTTACTTAAAGATTAGTCAACGAGAAATTCTTTTTCTTAAAAAAAACAACAATCTGACAGTTTTCTTGAGAGTTTTTAAAACTTGCTTTTAGAAGGTCATTGCTACAGGGGATACTGAACGTTCTTCATGGTTTTGGATTTATGACTTATGGAACTGGTCGAGCTTGAACCCAAAACTATTTTTTTTCTCCCTTTTTTTTCAAAATGCGATTCGGTTATTTTCAACTAATCTCAATCCAATTAGATACGCAATTTCGGAGAAAAGAATACCAAACTTCGAGGACGTCGAAGTGATTAAAGAGCCCATTATTTTCATAAAAACTCGAGTAAGGAGACTCGATCCGGGGGCTAACGAAGCGGAGTGGGATAGAAAGATCTGGATTGCACAACAGAGGAATATTTCCGCTCCGGTGATTTGATTCAGTGACTAATTGTAAGACGGGTTCATCATCAGACGGAGCAGAGGTGAGCTACCGGAGACGACGCGACCAGCGACCTCCGTGCTGCAGGAAGAACGCCGTATGTACATTCCAGAGTTGCCAAATGTCTCCAAATAAAAAATGCATTTTACAGGAAAGTTGTGCATAGTTTTCCTTGAAATTTTGAGATAGGTATTTTAGATTAGAGTGAGTAAAAAGTTATCTGAAATTTTTGAGGAAAAATATCCAGGAGTTTTCTTGAAAATTCGTATTTTATCGGAGGCAATTTGGCAACGCCTGACAGCTCATACGGCGTTCTTCCTTAGCACGGCAGCGTGGCCAGACGGCCGCGACAAGGCCAGATGCCACGAGGGAGGGCCTCATCACTTGAAATATTACACCGTCCTCAAGCTAGAGTACCTTTGTAGAAGGAGTGGACACCGGGCACCGTGGATACTTTTAACAACTAAAAAAGTGGCCGAAGTGGCCGGGATGGGCGGGGGTTGTTGCCGACCTATGACGCCAATCACCTGTTTTACATCACCGTTAAAAATTATGAGATAAGTCTGCGAGTCCAGTTTTTTTTTATTTTGGGAAATCCTGATTTTACCTGGTTCTTGACTGCTAAATCCTGATTTCATAATTTTTCCAAATCCAGATCAAATCCTGATTTTTTGCGGGAGAAAATTAAAATTTCTGGATAAGCGGATGCGAAAGCATAAAACATCCGATCGAACGGCTGCCTCTTCTCAAATTCTGATTTTACGACCGATGAAATTAGGATTAAATCCTGATTGACCTCAAATCCTGATGGGATCGGGAAAATCCTGATGCTAGACACCCTGTAAGTGCTCCGTTCTCGAATTGAGGATAAGATGGAGTCTACTTCTAACTCTGTAACTCCAATTTTTAGTCTAAATAGACTAAATTTCATTTCAAGGTTTCTCTAACTTATTTTTCCTAACAATTCTCTTGTCAATTTCTGCTATTCATCGACTTGAAACTTCAACAATCTCTAGCTTGCCTTGCCCTACACAGTAAAAAGTAGAACGTCTGATAGGACCTCATTTCGTCGTACTACATCTCCTCTACATCTACAGTCAAACTCCTCATGCATAGCTAGGGAGCAAATATATTAGCAGGGTTGCTCTGCCATACTAAGGAAAAACGCCGTATGAACCTTCAGGCGTTGCCAAATTTCCTTTGATTAAACACGAATTTCCTGGTAAACTTAAGAATATTTTTCCCCAATTTTTCAGATAATTTTCCTCGCAGTTCCACCAACAACTCCTGAAAATTTCAAGGGAAAATATTGGTAACTTTCCTCATAAATGAACATTTTATCGAAGGGAATTCGGCAACTCTCGAATGTTCGTAAGGCGTTCTTCTTTAGCAAGACAGTGTTTGAAGGGTGTCGTTGATTACCTTGAGAAGATGGGTGGCTGTTTGAAGATGATGTGGAAGTCGTTCTGGCTGCTGACGAGACCGTCTCTTGAGTGGAGGGCGCATTTGAAGCTGCGGCGCCGCTTATCTGTCATCTGAAACAGGCGAAACCGCAAAAAATCATTATAGAATCTACCTACGAAACGAGAAATTTTGACATCGGACACGAGGAAAGAATGGATCAACACGGGATTCGCAGTCGCAGGTCAACAACCTATGTAACCAGAGACCGCAGCAGAGACAAAATGATCCACGGGCACGACTATGCAAACAATGAGTGCGGAGATATCAAAATTATTCGTCGAATCCTTCACTTCGAGATCAACTTAACTCTTCAGGGAAAATAGCGCAAAAATTCAAAGAGAAATCCTTGCAATACGTCGTTTTCTAGACGAACAGACGCGACTCAAGTTCAAAGTCGCAAAATTGAAAAAATCGATTCAATTTTTTGACGAAAGTATAAAAAAGCAAATTTTATCCGAAATTAGGCTGTGTAAAATGCAAAGTCCGTAACATTTTCAGTGAAAAACGCCAGGAAAATTTCTACAAAAAGTATTATTTGCGCGTGAAAATTTTACGACGTTGAAATGTGCGTACGTTAAAAGACCAATCTAGAGACTATTTCCATTTCCAAAAACAATCCACTTACTGGTTAGTATTTGAAAAACAGCAATCGTTTATACCCAAAATGCATTGCGCCAAACTGAGCCTCCACCTTAATGGGAGACTGAATCCGTGCAAAATCTTTCGAGAGAAAATTTTCCGTAACTTTTTGCAAAAGTTTAAGTAAACCACGTTTTTCAACAACTTAGCTTTCAGGGTAAATCTTGCGCCAAGATTTCCAGATTTTCTTCCTTCATGCATCTAAAAAGTAAAGGGAAATTATCTCCCAGAGGATAAGGCCCCTTTTTAGAGATACGGTCACAATTTAATTCGTTATTTCCTTCACAAGAAAACGTAGCTGCATTTAAATGTTGCCAAATTTTCCCTTACATATTGCATTTTTACCAGGAGAATCTTGGACATTAAAAATATGAACTGAAAATGCCCTTGATTTTCTCTCCGGTCTCGTGCAAAAATTAGAAAAAAATTGAAAAACAATTTCATAGGTATACTCTTGCAAAAATTGAATTATGACACCATTACGTAACTTTTGACGCGCACTTACACTAAAATTGTTGAAATTTAACTTTTTCTAGCGATTGACCAATTAGGTAAATTCTGTCCATATTTCCCTACTACGCTACTTTGTTGCGATGACCATTTCGAGTATTGCTCTCATCGTAAGATACACTAACATTTATCACATGTTTAACTATTTCAGTATATCTGCAGACTATGGGAGCTATACCCGAAAGGACCATCGCAATGTGGTGAAGTAGTCAGAAAATTCGGACTGAATTAATTGGTGCGTCGCTAGAAAAAGTTAATTTCCAACAATTTTGGTAAATATTGAATTGTTTGAGTCAATTTTGCAACCTTGAAACTGAGTTACGTTCCTTCGTGTGGGAAGTGACGGATTTTAGAGTGTCGTGATACGGAGCACGGCACTACCCGCGAGGTTCCGTGGTTCGCCTTCATTTCCACGAAATGCGGCTAAACTTAGCGCTCATTTTGTGCTTTGCTCAGCGTGCATGGAGGATTGATGAGGGATCGTGGTAGGACATTATAAACTAATGCGGAAACCCTAAAAATAGAGAGAGGAGGGTTCCGAGGTGAGGTTGACGACGGTCGATGGCGGCTCATCCCTTCAAAGCGATCGCCGCACCACCGCACCGCGCCGATTCAACTCCGAATGTGATGTCTACGCTCCGTGCTATGGAAAAACGTCGTATGAGCCTTCAGACATTGCCATATTTCCTTCAATACAAACAGCATTCACTGGGAAATTCTAGATTTATTTCCTCCAATTTTTCAGACACTTTTGTTCCCGATTTTATCTAAAACATCTGAAACTTTTAAAGAAAAATAAGCGTAACTTTCCGGAAAAATTAACATTTTATCGAGGCAAATTCGGCAACCCTCGAATGTTCATGCGGCGTTTTTCCGTAGCAAGGCAGTACATCAAGGTTCAGGTTTCATTCACGATAAGCCACGCTGAGTTTACGTGCTGAATTTTCCACCGCTTTTCATTCAGTTCTGCTCGTCACTCAACACTCTTGAGTTCGTGCACTTTGATATGAAGTTTTCGTCATGAGACCAGAACTGTCCACGAAAGAAAATTTGTCATTTATCGCGGTTTGAAGAAAAAAAGTTTGTAAAATTACAGGGGATTCAAACTTGCGATAATTTTTCTTTGAATTTTCCAAGGAAAGTGTGTCTTAAGAGACTTGGATGGAAGAATTAGCGGAATTTTCCAGATTTTCTCGGACCAAAATTACCAAAATTTCTTGGTTTTTCACGCCGACGATTTGCACGCGTAGAACTGAAAATGGACTTTAAAAAAAAATAAAAATAATAATAATTTCAAAACAGAGACACGTGAACTTGTTTGTCTTCAGATATGAATCATTCAAGCGACTAAAAATTGATGCTCCTCAATGAAATTAATTCCATTAATTCAGAGTGCAACACAGAGCATTCAGCCTCGAACTTGAGTGCAACGCTCACACTGATTGCATAGACATTGTGCGTTTTTCCGGATTTAAAATTTCTTGAAGTCTTTTTCACATAATTCCCTGAAATTACCAGGATTGTCATGATCTGATGAAATTCCCCGACAATTCTGGTTTTCTAGATCTGCAGACACCCTCGGAAAATTTGACTCGTGATCTAAAGTAATGTCTCTAAAAATCACAAGGAAGAACCGTGACTTCCCTCCAAATTAAATGCTCAATCGATAATCGATTACATCGACATTGTGCGTTATTCCGGATTTAACATTTCTTGAAGTCTTTTTCACATAATTCCCTGAGTTTACCATGATTGCTCTGATCTGATGAAATTCCCCGATAATTCCTGGTTTTCCAGACCTGCGGACACCCTCGGAAAATTTGACTCGGGTTCTAAAGTAATGTCTCTAAAAATCACAAGGAAGAACCACGACTTCCCTCCAAATTAAATGCTCAATCGAATGAAATTCGTCAACGTTGGAATTCCCATACGGCGCTGTTCCTGAGGACGGGAGGCCTGAATTGAGTGAATTAACCGGAGCCCGGATGCAGCGGCACGAGTCTTCACCTTAACAAAGGAAACTCCAGGGAAGGCGGGGGTGGAGCGGGGGCGGGAATGAAGGGGGGTGTCACCCTCCTCCCTCGTCCAAGTCGGAAGGGGATAGGATCCTCGGTGGAAACTTATCCCCGAAAACGTGGAGGAAAGGCGGGTGGATGCCTTGTTCGTACGTGCAGGGATTGGGTTACTCGCGTCGCGGCGCACACTGGATCGAGTCAATGGAGATGTTGCATGTGTGAGGGATTTGCGATTTCACTGTTGTTTCTTGTGTAAAAGTTCGCGAGAAACACGATGGTCCCACTGATATTCTCTGAAATCATCCCCCAAGCTCAAAAAAAGCTCTCAAGTTGAGCCCAAAATGGAGGGGATATCCCACCCTACCCTGAGAGTCCACGTCCACATCAAGACAAACTCTCCATGCAAAGATAGGGAGCAAATACATTAGCAGGGTTGCCGTGTTTTCAGTTTTGGAGTCCCCTAATGAAGTGGCAGCCCTGTCAATGTATTTGCTCCCTATCTTTGCATGGAGAGTTTGTTTTGATGTAGAGGTGGACTCTCAGGTAGGGCGGGATATCCCCTCCATTTTGGCCTCACTTTGAGAGTTTTTTTTGCGCTTGGAAGTTGATTTCAGAGAAAATCAGTGGCAGTGGCACCATCGTGTTTCTCGCGAACTTTTACAAAAGAAAGAACAGTCAAATCGCAAATCCCTCACACAGGCAACATCTCCATTTGCAGTTGTCTGAAATTTGATGAATTTTGTGTCTGAGTGGAAACTACTGAATGAACTGGACACGAGGACACACACCCCTGGCTCATGAATTGCACAATTATTGGAGAAGACATGACAAAATGATCTAATCTGCTAAAATTACGTGTGTTCTAAAGAGAAAAATTATAAAAAAGACTGTGAAATCAGCTCTTTAAACACTTGCAGATGAAGCAATAAAAAATTTCCATGCGAATTCTCCATTACCTACATGAAATTTTTGACTCAAACTGCAAATTTTGATGTTTAATTCGTCACATTTTAAATTTCAGAGGGTGCCCCAAGAAGAAAATTTCACAAGGAAACCAATGGAGCCACTTATAGAACCTCAAAGTTTCCTTTGAATGGAGTTAAACGCGTTTCAAGTTTCCAGATTTTGTCCGGCCTCTCCCACTGACTGGATCCACTGTGCGGCGCGGCCGCGGGTCGCGTGCTCCTGCAATCCCTCGCCTTGGCGTGCAGTCCTGATGCAATCGCGAGGGACAGAGCCCGCGAGAGGGATTGCGAAGCCGCCAATCGATGCGATGCCATTGCCGGCCCCGATTATTACGCTTGCCTCCTCCTCGACCCCCGCGCCCCGAGCCGGGCCAAAAATAAGCTCAAGAGCAAGACGAACGTGCATCTTCATGGCTCTCGTTCTTACGCTGGCGCTGGAACTTACGCCGCACGTGCGCTTGAAAGTTGGCAACACTGGTTTCGCGCCATTTAAAAATATGTGAAACAATCGATCCTCGGCNCGAGAGTCGATATTTTTACAGGATTTGAAAGGAGCGAGAACAGCGTTGCCACTCGCAAAATCAATTTTTCCCGTAGTTTCGTAAAAAATATACACTGATTAAAAAAAGTAGCTTGGATCTAGAGTCCAGACTCTTAAAAACATTGACAAGAGAAAATACTCTTGATTCAAATGGAAAACCGCCTAAATTAAGAGGCTTGGCTCTTCGATTCAAGGAAAAATCGGATTGAATCAAGAGTATTTTTCCTTGTCAATGTTTTTAAGAGTCTGGACTCTTGATCCAATCTACTTTTTTAACAGTGTACCTACATATGAAAATTACACCTAAATTTACCCCGATATAACGGAAAATACGCAATCTATTCAGTGATAATATTAACAAAAAAAAGTTTACGTGTTTTCACCGTACATTCGAAGCATTC